TCCTCCTCCTCCACGAGCGCAGGCTCTCTCACTTCGCCCCGCGAGGCCTCCTCACCTGGCGGCAGGTCGGCGCGCACCTCCGGAGGGTACCTCCGAAGTAGTCTCATTTCTCGTGTGAACTGACCACATGGGTCACGTACCTATTATCATTTCCCGGTGTCTAAGCCGTAGGAAAGAATGAAATCTAGATCGCCGGAAGCCCCTCATAATTAACGCGCCCGCGCGAACGGCACGCAGCGCGCGCGGACGGAGTGAAGGTGGAGAAGGAGGGAGAGAGGGAGGGAGAGGTCGCAGGTAACACCGCAACACGGCAGCGGCGGCGTCGTCCACGAAGAGAACTGATGGGAAGAAGGAAACGGGGAGAAAAAAAAGGACGCGCCGCGCTGGAGAAGCGCGATGAGGACGCGCCAGGTTACAGATTCGAGCGAGCGACCCGGTAATATCGCGTGCGCGAGCGCGCGAGCGAGAGCTGGAGGTATCCGATGACCGATATACCGGGTGCTCCAAGCGAATTTACGACCGGCCTGTCGCGCTATCGAGCTAGTCGTCGGCGCGGTTGGCTCCTACGGTCTTCTCCTTTCGCGGATGTAGGTCGTATCGGGGGAATCTTCGCGGGTGGAACGGTAGTTTTGGTGTGTTACGTAGTATAGCGCACACCACGGGAGCGAGAGTGCACCTGGACGGGCGATCGATCCTCCGGAAAACATTGTAATTTATTTATCGACCGGCAAAATGACAGGCGAGCAATAATTCACCGTGTTTTTCAGAGAAGAAAGAGCCAGTAATTAAAAACCGATTCCTCGCTTTTGACCCGACTGATGAGCACCTTGGGCAAACACTATTCATTATTTACTCGCCTAACAAACTGTATCTAATATTTTCTGCCAAATAATACACAACCCATGCTATTTAATCTAATATTCACAAAACAGCTTGCTCCAATTATCAGCCATCAATGATATAGAGATTTAAAAGGCACCCGAAATTTCGACGTCCCAAAAGGAACTACTATCCTTGATCTTTCTTTGATATTTTCTCACATATTCTTTACGCGTCATTTAAATCCTCTCTTCTTCTTTGAGCAACGTCTGTTTTCTCTTTTTCTCGGGATTTGAGATAAATGAAGGAACAAAAATAAATGAAGGAACAAAAAGAAATGAAAGATACACACGTCAATATTATCAATGGTTTATCGCCACGCAACTTATCGTTGACCCCCTCGTTGCCAAAGTTCACGCTATCCCGTCGTTCCCGACAACGTGGTGGATTATTGCGAGCATGACGCGGCCAGTCGAGACAGTGGTTCAATTTTCGCGTTCGGCGAACCGCGGAATTCGTCCGGAACATCATTAGGCGCCGTCACCGCCCGAAAATCCGCGCGTCTCCCCGCGGACTTTTGGCCGGGCGAAGGGTTGCGCCGTACGGACGGTGTTTTGACGATCTCGCTGTCGTCGTCTCGCCGGCGCAGCTGTTGTTTTGTTGCGCAAACGCGCCCGGGGATTTTCATGGGGGCGTCGGACGTCGTCGGATCTGTCCGTACGTCCGTCCATTCGTCCGTTCGCATAAGCCCGAAAGGGTTCCCGTTGTGTGCTGGCGGAGTTCACACATGTGGAACTGAAAGCCCCCGACCAAAAGTCCATCCGTCTGACCGTCCGCTCGTTCGTCTGCTCTTCCATTATATCACCTACCACCTTCGTCCACCCCCTCGAATACATATGGTCTGCGCGGAGGGGGCGCGTTAACTTGCAGCTTGCGCAATGATCGGAAGGACCGACGTAGCAGCGGCGGAGGCAGCAGCAGCACCTCGCCCCGTGTTTTTCTCTCGTTCCCGGCAAACGATCATTCTTGTGAAAAGGGTGGGAGATGGGGAGGCGACTCCATTAGGAGGCCGCAGCGTGAATCGCCTCGTTTCCGGTGGGAGTCTTAACCCCAAACAACGAATACGTAGAGTCGGGAAATATTGAGCGACAATTTGCGAGGGATTGGACGGTGCAGAGTTAAACATTACTTTGTTGCCAAAAGTAAAACTCGTAGAATGTGTCAATAAGCTCGGAATAAGAACTTGCAATTAACTTGCATTGATTCCTGAAGCGGAATCGCGCAGAATTATCGTTATTTCGATTGACACGGTTATAAAATTACAAGAATGTAAATTCTCACTTATCGTTCTGCTCGTTTCGTCTCCAGTGCTGCGCGATCTATGCGATTTAATTACGCAAATCACTTAACAGATCACGGCTACGAAAATGCGTGATTCGCGAGCTCAGGTAACGAAATACATACGGCGCAGGCTGTTAAACGATTGTTCTTTTTGAGAGAGAGTCGATGAGCATCAGCGGGGAAAAAGTCGTTGGCTCCGATAGAGCCGACAGCGCGCTATCATGGGTATATCTTACCACATAAGGGCCGCTTACGGGGGTAAAACTCACAACAGGGCGAAAGACAGAGAGACAGGGGTGAGCGACAGCGTCGTGGAGGAAAAAAGCGGGAGGCTGGTTGGCTATTAATATATTTTTTCCCCTGCCAACCACCCCTATTTAGCATAGGCACGAAAGAGGACTCCACCGTGTCCCATCACCCCGCGCGTAATCTAACCCTTTGCAAACAGCCTGAGAAAAAAAGAGAGAAAGAGAAAGAGAGACAGCAAGAGAGACAGAGAACGACACCAACCGCCGGTCGAAATTCTCTTGGGACGAAAAAAACGCGTCTCACGGTGCTCTTCCTGTCCACTGTATCTCGGGGTGAAAAAACGCGGCAAAAAGCATGATGCACCGTACAATTGTGTGCGACGTGCGGGTTTAAAAAGTTGTAATAAAGCATTCGTGATTAGTTACATGTACACACGGGTATATTATTACGAATTATAACGCGCATTTCTAACGAGACTATTTCCTGGATTATATCGCGCATATGTAATATTCAACGTATAACGCGAGGTTACTGTATGAATTATATCTTGAATAACGATATTATCACGATGAAAATCCAACTCAGCTATTTGATAATTGAAGGTGTTCCAATTTTATATAACGGATTGCATACTTATTCGTTGCATTTTAATCAGAATAAGTCGAATTAATTTTAATCGATGTCCCATATTGATTAATTTTATAAATACCTGTATTTTAATTATATAAAAATCTGTATTTTTTTAATATTTGGTAGTTATAAAAGATTTGTCTAAAAACTACGTTACTCGAGTTACTGCAGGCACAAAAAGAATCGTCTGAATTAGATGTCGCCCTTTAATCTCTACGTTTCTCCCCTCCACCGTAATTCGCATATTGATTTACATGTAATCCTTCGTTCTCTTTGTGGTCACTCCTACTGTCACGAGGACACTTCACTGTCGGTCCTTTGATCACCCGTCGCATGTGTCGTTGGGTCAGCGAAAAAAGAAACAAACGGGCCATTTAATTATCCGGACATTAATTAATTATTCTTGTCCAGTGTCAAAGTAATTAATCTCCGCTGAGCTAAAGGTGCCACGCTGCGCAACCGCCTGACAAATGTATTATATTTGCTGAATCGCGCGAAACCCACCCTCTATCCATCCACTGATTGAAAGCTGATCACGTTTCCGCCAGGAACATTACTATATCGTGAACGTAGAACCGATATCTTCATGGTATTTGTACGTGCTTGTACCACAATAATTAATTTATTGTATCCACGATACATTTGCGCTTCAAACAATCACGTTTCTTTTAATATCTAAATTTTCAATATTATTCAATAGAGTCATTTAATTTCTCTGTCCCGATAAGTCCTGTGTTATAAAAATTACCGTGAATATTAAATTCCACGTTCTCTTCAAATATTCGTGAGATAAATTAATTACATTTATAAATCGAAGTAGCTTTTATGAATCTTGCCACGAATAGGACGAGAGATATTTTTGAAAGAGATTCTAAATTATCTTCAAGCGAAACAGAGTATTGACGATTAGCATTCGTTTCGTAAACATTAGTTTAAGTTTGGATCGTTGTATGAATATTCATTGGATCCGCCGGAACAAAATATTGTTTCATTATGAAATTGTGATAGCTCGCTGCTTTGGCACAAAAATCAGAATAATACAGACACGTGAAATTCGCCATGCCATCGAGATCTTTCCCAGCGGGCAAGCTTAACGCGTCATTACTGTCGAAGGTCATTGCCATCGCCACCGCGAATGGTGGCGTAATTTGACTAAAGCTGAACGTGAAAGAGAGAGAGGGAGGAAGGTCTACCATTCATAGTCGTTCGCGTTTTCACGAGGGTTTTCCCGTCTTTTATTGCGCGAAATCAATCGATCGTCGAAGCGTGAGGGCTCGAAATTGGCGCAATCTCGTCGTCACATATGGTCAAACGGCCGCAAAAAAGAGGGTAGCCCGACGAGGAGTGACCAAACAACGAAAGTACTACGTCGAGGAAGCGATCATGCGAAGAACGATGTTTGGACGCGCGCGTATTTTGTTGCATCCACAAAGTAACTTTTTTCTCTGCGAAACATCTCTTCTAGGATATTCTCAATGGCTGCGTTCAGCAAAGAAACTGTTTTACAGCTGTTGTAAAATTTGTGAATCTGTATATGCTCTTAGCCAAGATTAAGAGCACATTGACTGATTCAAAATTCAAGATGAAATGCTTTAAATGCCGAAGGAACATTATCAAACGCAAAAGAAACAATATTTGCAAGGTTTACATTAGATCCTTTAAGACCGGTATTCATAATTATAATTATTTATGATCTTTGATTGAGAGTTATTTAATTATTGATTTTTACTCATGGATCGTCTGTTTGGATCAATCTTCCTTGTTATATGAAACAAATATAAGTTGACGAATAATCAGAGATTTATGAAAATGTAAGCTGCATTGTCAAGCTATAATTTCTTAAATAATGATGGACTATGAATACCGGCCTAAATATTTCGACTCGGGTATCTCCTTGTTTTCGGTAAACTCGTCAAACGTTAATCAAAATCGCAAAACTTCTGTATAAAAAATGCACGTACCTGGAAATATACGGCGTATCGCTGGCCGCGTCCTGCATCCTGGTTTCCCAATCCAGCATCCTGACTTCGGGTTGCTCCATCGTGGTACTCCGAATACTCCTTCATAGCACTAGCACTGACACTGACGGCTTGTCTACAATACGCGAAGTAAATTTGGCGTAAGTTGTAAGAAGGAATGAAAATCATTTGTTTCGCTTGTCTCCTTATACTTTGGCTCTCTTACAACTTTCTTTTACTTTTAAAGTACATACTTTCAGTACGTACTTTCAGTATAAAGAAGCTAGAGTATAGGGGTAAGCGAGATAAATGATTTTTAGTCCTTGTTCTAATTTACGTCAAGCTTACTCCGCATCTCGTAGACGAGCTTTAACGTAATAACTTTAGCGTAAATAACGCACATTAATTAGCGCGATGCCAACGAGAGCCCGATTATTTCAACAATCGATAAAATACTTTAGTCACTCGCGACGGAGACAATAAGTAACGCATCAATATGCGTATTGTACGGTATGCGTGTCGCTTGGCGTCTCAACACACAATGGAGACACTTGGAAAAGCGCGCGATGCACGACTATACGTTTCACCGCTTTCAAGGTCCGCAATATTTTGAAGATGTTGATTGTTTTGATCTATCGGCCGTTCGGTAGAAGCGACGACGGTTGCTGATGACGTAGTCATTTTTTGTTTGTTTTGATCTTCCGTGTATTGCGGATTTTTTCATGACTGAGTCAGAGCGTTTCGCGCTGGTGAGCGACGCAAGCACCGCGACGCGAAGTACGTAAGAGACAATTCTCTCTCTCTCGTCGAGAAATAAAATATTTCGAGAAATACTAAATCGGATACTCGTCGGCATCGCGTCAATTAACATGCGTTTCCTCGAACGAATTTGCGCGAGTGTCAGTGCTACGACGAAATAGCGGGAAGTAGAATGTTGAGTCAGGAACCTGGGATGGAGGATGTAGGACGTCAGAACGCAGGCAACGGATGTCATATATTTCCAGATGTGATAAATTATGAGATTATTTTAACTATTTTAATTGTCGTTTGACGAATTTGCCGGAAGCAAAATAATACCCGAGACAAAATTTAAACTAGTATTCATAGTCATTATTTGACAATTAACTAGTTTCTTGAATATTGGATTATTTACCGACATGTACTTATATTTATTTGATGCAACAGAAAGTATTGATCCAAATAGTGAAACAATTAAGCCTGTAATAATTTAATTATGTTTTTAATTGAAAATTGTACATATTTATGATTGCGAATACCAACATTAGAGTCTATTATAAATTTCGCTGATTTATATGTCTAATAGTTTTTTTTTGGCAGTAAGATTGATATTGTTGGTATCTGTCTTCTTTTCTCTTTTAACAGAGTTATTATTATCATAATAAAATTATTATTATAATAATATTATCATAATATTAATATTATAATATTATAATATCATAATATTAACATTATTATCAAATTTAAATCTTTATCGATGTGCTGCATTATTAGGTAAAATACGCAATTGCTATTTTTGCCCTTGCAGCCCCTTCACCTTCATCGTCTTCAAGTCTATCAAAATTTCCAACACCAATAAAAAAAAATAATAGTAGAATTATGAATAAAACAAGGAGAAAAGTGTAATGAGAGATCACTTAATACAATAAAGTAGGTCAGTAACTTGTATGATTCTTGTGGAGATTTTCCATTGATCCTTTAAGTTCGACGGAATTTGCAAAGTTAATGCAGAACCAAAATTTCGACTCGGACGATGCCGGGAGCTTTTACGATACTTGTGTAATTGTACGATATACGAACGCGTGGATTTAACGATCGTTTCCTGACGCACCCGCGCTACCGTTGTTCCTCGTAAAAAGTGAAGCAATCGCGGTTGCCGCCCGACGAGCATCGAGGCTCACAACGAACTTCCTCGAAGAATTTCGGTTCGTTTCTTCTACCTCACTTCATCCCGCTCGCTCCTCTTCGCTCTCTCGCCAGAAGAGGCGCATAAATCCTTGAGGCAAACGCGCCCGGCCTCGAATTTCACGTGAGTAATTTTATAACCGTAAATCGACCTTTCAACGATCTTACGGCCTCGCGCGGAAAAAGGCAAAGAGCAAGGAAGAAAGAGCGAAAGAGAAGGAGTAGAGGGAAAAAGACAAGGTGGATGAAAAACAAGAACGCAGAGCAAGAAGTAACGCGCCGCGTCTTGCTCGCCTTTCTTTCATCCCCCACGGAAAAGCTGCAAAAACCCGCGTATATAAATCGTATGCAAAGACGAGGTGGAGAAGCGAGCGCGGTCGGGCCCTTAATTTAGTTAATTTAGATTTTATCCGTTAGAGCCCGGAGGAGCGCGCGCTTTCATTTTTTTCTTTTACTTCTCATCGCGTGCGATTCTTTCGCGGAGGGTGGAAAAAACCGGCCAGGACACGGGAGACAACGATGGAAAGGGTTGGAAAACAAGCCGACGGCACTGCCGGCATTATTATATACTTATTTAAGATACGCGCGAGGGTCCCCGAACGGGACTCAGCTCTCTTCCCTTTTTTTCGAGAACCCGCATGACTTTTTTCTCCTCGCTCCATTCCCGTCCCTTTGCGCTGTCGACCCCTTGCCTCTCGCCCCTCGTCCATATCCTTCACCGAGGACCTGCATCGGGACAATGATAAATGTTGTTCTCTCTCTCTCCTTCCCTCTCTCTCTCTCTCTGTCCTTCGAAAACCTCACCGTCGATCTCCTCCCTACAAGGATCCCTCGGTTTTCTCGCGCTCGCCCGCGGCTTTATTATAATCGGTGTGAAATGATAACCGATCGCGGAGCTCGTTTTCGAGTACGACCGGATGATACGGCACGGTGCCGTACTGTTTTTGTGGACGTAAAAACAAAACTGTACCCTGCGTGTGCGTAAGGCAATGGGTTAGCGAGTCAGACAGCCAAGAGGGAAGAATGGGATGAGCAGATCGATGTGTGTGTGTGTGTGTATGTGGTTACAAGGTAAAAAATTTACGGTTTTAAAATCACGCGAGAAATTATTATGCCTGAGCGAAGCGGCGCAGAGTAGAACCCGCGTGAGATTTCCGACTTGGAGCCCTTTTCGCGCTCGATGTTGCAGTCTGTTTATCGCGGCATCGCCACGTTTCGCTGATCCACCCGGCACAATCGTTCGGTTTAATCGCCGGCTCCTTGATTTTCGACTGAGTGACTTCTGGTTGCTTTTTGTCGTTCCATTATAATCCTGAGATTACGACGACCGGTCGCTTCTTCGCGCAGGTAATGATCGCACTGTGTGCTTTCGTTGCCGAAGTTTGTGTTCTCCCAGTGTCGATGCGAACGTAACTTTGTCCGGTCGGGGAAGAGATTCTGACAAAACGACAAAAATCAATCAGCTCTGTACTCTTTTGATCTTTTGAAATTTGGAGGGTCCGTTTGACCGAATGCATTATCGAGTGATGTATTTAGTTAGTTGGTCTCGTGAATGTAACTAATGTATCGTCGATATTCTCCTCTCAAAGAAAAGTCTTTTCCTTGCTGCAACCAGAGTCGAAGATTCTGGAACACGCTGTGTAACACAGTCGGCATCATGAATTTTAACCGTTCGGAAATGTTCGGCTGATGTATATCGAGCTTCCTCGTAACATTTTTTATTAATCCATCCATCTTCCCCAATCCAAAGACTTACGTTTGCCACACCTCGCTCTCCTCCTTCTTCCTTGCTCGGGAAATCGCGGACGTAACAAAATCTCCGACTTTCCACCGCTCGAACCTCGCGAATCGAGTCGTGAATCTCTCCAAGTCGCGCGACGCAGGACGCGCAGAGCCAAGTGCGGACATATACGTGACTTTTGGAAAAAAGGGAACCACGGTAAGTAGGGTGCCGCGGGGTGGCCGTTGGGGTGGTAGCGGCGGAGGGCTTACGTGGCTGGCTGACCGTGCCCGGGGGTGACTTACGATGGACATGTGCAATTTGACCTGTTGACCCCGGAGGCCGTGGCGCGCGGCGCTCAGGGGAGCGAACTGTATTTGGGGTAAAAATAATACAATTTACACATAATAGGGGAGAAGGACGAGACTGTGCCGGGGATGCGCGCGTATTCAAATGACGCGTGCACATGGAGCGCGTATGGAGCGAAGATGCATCGCGGGGGGCGAGTGCGGCAGAGGGAGAAAAGAGCGAAGGGGGATGGTGTACCGACACACGCACAATAGCCGGGGCAGAATCGATCGATACCTCGTCACCTTCGATCGCTCATGAATACGAAACAAGCGCGACTCACTTCGGTCACTTACGATGTTTTTCCCCCCGGTCATGGTCAGGTTTTTCATTCTCGTTAAAGAGAAAAAAAAGCGACGCGACGGTGAAAGTAGTGACGGCGAAATACGGTCATTCTGGAATTCTCACGAGTTCTTCCCCCCTCATCTGCTCGGCGCAAAAAAATCACGCGAATATCGCCGCGAAGCTCGAGTCCGCAAGACCAGAAAAAAAATTTCAAGAGGCCGCGGCCTTTCCAGCGCCATGAGATTTTCTCACGAGAAAACTCTCGCCCTTTTCCTTTTTCACGTTCGTGCGTAATTTTTTTACTAAAAGACGCTTCACACCGACGCTGGACGTCAGCTGTTGCCCGCGGTGCTTAGGAATCTGTCGCGCAAATTAAGCGCGTTTCTTCAAACATCTGTTGCTTTTTCAATCGTGTTCGAGGTATTTTCTTGAAAAAAAAGGAGAAAAAAGGAGAAGAAAAATTGATTTCTCTTGAGCAGCATGGCGCACTGTTGACTTATTTTATTCGTTCTTTTCCATCGTCTCTCTTCTAACTGAACTCTCGCATCGCATACGAATTAGCGCTCTAAGACGTAATTACATCCGCGACAGTGGTATCCGTCTTCCCCAAAAGCGGCCGAAAGACCCGAATTTTGTCGTGCGCCTGAGCGTTTACCGCGTTTCAAACGGGAACTTGAAAATAGCCCCGGGACACACATCCGTCGCAGGGGCTGCGCTTCTGCTTGCACGCAACGGAATTCTGAGGGGTTCTACTCAGCGACTATTTCTGTGCCGGGCGCAGCCCCGTGTGTTATGTCTGCCTCGCGTGAAAATTCTAACATCCCTCACACGGCTCCCGTCGCCGCTTCTCTCCCTTTCTTCCCTTCCTTATCGAACACCTACCCCTAGCCTCGTTCTCTCTCTCAGCCGAGAGCCGTGAGTCCGCCCATTTCGTTCCGACTCATCTAGCGTGGCCGCGGATAAGAAGGACGAAAATAGCCGACGCAGCCTACGACAACGGGGAAAACATTGCATCGGATCGCTCGTATCATCATTTCGGTCCTCGCGCACCTTCGTCTCCATTCTCAGTCCCCACTGACATTTATAAAAAATTTAATCCCTGTCGAAACAACGATCTGCTTGCGAAATTCGATACAATTCGATGAAGTTTCAATCAATATAGAAATGAAATTAACATCTTCGATTAACATAGAAATAGAAACTATCCCGACATTCCCACGTTGGGATTCTCAATTTTAATGAGGTTCCGTGA